AAATAGCAAAAAAAAGAAGTGATAAAAATGAGATTAAAGACAAACGCAACAATCAACTATAGATGGCGCCAGCTGCAGTGGTGGCTGTCATCGCTAAGCCAATGCGCGAACCAAACAGAAAGCTTTCTATCGCTTTATATTCTCGACGGTGAACTGCAAAATGATGACAATGAAATTAACGGCGTACGAGACGAGAAACAGCCAAAAGGCGTTGTCCAAATTGAAGAGGCCCAAAATGGAGAACTTCAGATTGTCCAGGGGCCACATCAGCAGCGGCGTCGGCAGCGCAGCCTGCAAGCATCAGCAAGGAGTTGGAGCTGAGCTGGGGAATTCACTAAAAATGGAGCTGAGACGCACCTGCTCCTCGGTCAACTGCTCTGGCACATAGCACTGCTCCAGGCTACGACTGCGCAGTTTCCTGTGCTGCACCTGACACATTTGAGTGGCCAGGATGAGGGCGTAGAGCTGAATGGCGACAATCGCACAATAGTTCGATATGGTCAGAGGAATGCCGTGCCGCTCCACAAAGTACGACATGTAGGCGTACATGTTGGCCAGAATGTTGATGAAGTTGCCAATGACGAGCAAGAAGATGCCCAGCTGCAGGACGCCGACGAAGTCGTCGCAGACCCGCAACAGACGTCGCTCGCGTCGCAGGAGTCGGTGCTGCTGACACGCGGCATCCGGCTGCTGCCATTGCCAGTCCAGCTGCTGCATGCAGCCCAGCAGGAGGAGCAGCGCACCGAAGACGCCGTTGCCGAAGACGCTGCTCATGTGCTGCACGTAGAGCTGGATGCCGTACGCCAGCAGCTGCAGCCAGGGCAGCCGTGCGGCGTTCTGCTGCAGGAAGGGCACGTTGCAGAGCAGCTCGTACAGCGACAGCAGCAGCTTGGCCCACATCAGCAGCGAGGCCGGCCAGCTGAGCGTGTGCCGGCGCTGCAGGCGCGCCAGCCCGTTCAGCAGCCGGGCCAGGCGATGGCGCTGCCAGACGTGGGCGCCCAGCAGAGCCAGCGATATGGTCACATCGCCGGCCATCGTGGCCAGCGCGATGTGCTTGAACAGGGTCGAGTGCTTCACGTTGGTCGCCTCGTACAGGGCCAGGCTCTGGCGCAGCAGCAGCGGCGACAGCGCCAACAGGCCGAGCCAGTGCAGCCAGGCGCTGGCCGTCACCAGGCGGCGATAGCGGGCGCCACGCCCCCAGCTAAAGCTGAGCGGCGCCAAACCCAGCGCCTGCCACAGGCGCAGCAGCAGCAGGAGGCACAGCGCACCGAAGTGCGGCAAACGCGGCATGTTGAATGCAACTGAAAAGGGCGCGTGGCAGTTGCAAGCGTAAGGCCAGGTTATATAAATGCTCTTTCCGCCCCATCCCCATACAAGCTAACTGTTAACAATCTAGCCACAGCTATAAACGTTGCTCGCGCAACACGTTATCGCGTCCCAGCGGCATTAGCGCAATTCCAGATAAGTGCGACAACAAAAACTGTATAGTCAAAGAAAATAACAATGAAGACAGAGCGATCGATAGGTGGACAGATACTGTTACATATACTAAATATGCTCTATAATGAACGTAATTAAATGAGTTTCGATATGTGAATATAAAATCATTTACAGATACAGATACAGATACAGATACAGATACAGATACAGATACAGATAC